TTTCTCAGGGCTTTCTAATCAATAATTAAATAAGATTGTAAGAAAATAAGAATTAAGAACCACAGAAGGTGGTTATTGGTTAAACAATCAAACAATAAATATATGTAAACTGTATGAACCGTTAATGAAATGCCGCGTCATAAAAATTTTGTTTTTATATAACATGGGTATCGTATTATAAAATTCTTTGATTTTTAGCATAATTTGTAAATTTGATTGTTTCGTACAACAATAAAAGAACATTTATCACAAAAGCGGGAGTACAAGGAAGAATAATGTTCTTAATAAATGTTTGAAATTCCGTCCAGTATGTTAAGTATGTTAANTGTATTAATTATTATATATATCAAATGAACAAAGATTAAATTATATTAAGAACAAAAGGAAAATGGAAAAGTATATTGTATTCAAATTTTTTATAATCTTCCTCTTTTCCATTAAAACAGTATTGCTCTTTTTGAATGGGTATATACCTGGTTTAACACGAAAAGAACCCTCTGCTTTCAAATATGAAACAATTCATAATTATTAATGAGATTTTGTTAATAATTTCATAAATAAATGGGACGTTGTATTATTTAACAAAATTGTTTCTTCAATTACAAACAGCAAACGCTTTTTCTATAACTGAAAAATTTATTATTTCATATTAAATGTTTAAATTCTTTTTCTGCTATGGACAGGTACTCGTACAATTCGTTTTTTACTCCAGTGAATATTTCTGAGTATTTTTCTCTTCTTGTTTAACAAGAGTTTTAAATTGTTTTAAATTCACGTTTTACTAAAAGTTGTAATGAGTTAAAAATTGACTTGCAGTAAAGGTATTTCCTAATACTCGTAAATAATATGAAACTTATAATTCTTAAACCAGTAAATAAATGTAAAATCTTATAGTAAGTTCATGGGATCAATTTCGTAAAATCATTTAACCCATATTCCTGTGATACAGTCAAAAATTGGTTTTTTATTCAATCAACTTATCATCTTAGAATCAAAAACTGAATCTAGCCATGACAATCAGGCAAACAGTACAAATATGCTATTATATGTTAGTATATAATTATTATAGTGAACTGACATTGTAGTTTATAAACAAACTTGCCGGTCAACATGGATTGATCGGTATTTTCTAAAAAAGGTAGAATGTAAAATATCGTTCGATGGATCCATATACATAGACAGATGAGTATATTTAGCGATCAAATTTCATATGTAGATTTATGGCGACGACAATACAACAGACAGTTCTCATGTCACCCGCGAATTGCTAATAAAAACGTATTTATAGTTTATTAATAAATGTATCCACCTCAAAACTATCAATTAATTCATAAATTCAGAGAGAGAGCAATGGGAGAGAAAGAGAGAGAGCAATGGGAGAGGGAGAGAGAGAGAAAGAGAGAGATTTGTACAATATATCAACTACTTCCCACCCCTTGGTTATATTTGTCTCTCGGGGGTCATTCAGTTCTGATTAAACGCACCCTGGTTAAACGAATGCATTGGAAACAATTTTTTTTGTCCGTTCTGCGGAACTACTGGTGGTGGTGGTGAGAATCGACCAAAACTTTGCCCCGGCCCGGGGACACTGGCGCCAGATACACGGTACACCCCTTATCGCTCACCCCCTTTGCCGTGTTGCGAGATCCGATTTTCAGTTCGGGATTCTAAAGTGACCGAGTTTAGTTCAATTCATCTACTATCACACTCGACGAGATATCGACTAACTGATACAAACCTTTGGGAACAATAATTTTATAGTTTTAACTACTTTCAGATTTATCATTGATTTTCGACGATTTTCAATGTAAAAGGATTTGATAAGTATGACTGTTTATATTTTTTGGTTTCATATCACCGAACGCATTATTATTACCTGGCAAAACATCAGCGGAATAGGTTCTCATCTTCCGTTCAGCCGCTGTTTTATTCAATCTCATCAAAGTTGGGACTGTTTTACAACAATCGGTAGTTGACTTGACACATATAGTGCAATCAGTAAAACATATATTTCCAACCTTGCGATTTTGGTGAAAAAAACAAATATCATATTTTACCATAAGAAGCAGTTTAATCATCAAACGGACAGATAAAAGATATGCTAATTAATCTAAAACCACTCAGTTAGTCAAATCAATATTGTTTAAAAATATATATGCCAAACAGTAAAGACTGTTGTTTCAATTCAGTTCAGGGATAAAGCCTTGTTGTGGTAACATTGGGCGCAACACGAATGAGTTCGAGAAATGTCGTTATTGAGTTTTTGCTTTATTATTTTAGTGCGTCTTCCGGGGTCACTGGTGATAGTGGTCAACCTTTTTCCGCTGCTAATTAATAAATAAATTTACTGTAATTGTTATGCTACGCTATAACCTCATCCAGAAAGTTCCTTAACTTCTTTCCGGGGTGGGTCTTCGCTGACTTTCCTAGGGGATAATGTCGCCTTTCCGAAGTTCTCGGGTTAATGATTCGCAGTCACATAAGATATGATGTGCTGATATATGGTAGAGTGAAATTCAGCCTCAGTTTTGCATTTTTAAGGAGGTATTTTAGTGTAAAGCGGCTTATTATTTTCCCCGTTGCTTGCCTGTTGAGAAAAATGCAACTTTTTAACTTTCTGATTGTGACTTTTAGAAACTTCTTCGATTATTTTCCACCCCGTGAATCCATACAGTGTACAGTTTCTTTCTCCATCCATTAGTTCAGTTCCTCTTTTAGTCATTCGTTGGTTTGCCGATTTGCTGTTCTGGTCTAGCTTTTGCTAAATTTCTCCCAGCTTACTGTTTTTAGTTCCCTCGTTTCCTGGCACTCACATAAAAATCTAAAAAGCTATAACATTTGTTTTATATTTAATTATCCATACATCTTCTTACATCGGCCGAATTAAAAAAAATCCAATAAACTGTTTAACTGGAATTTACAGATATATTTATTTTCCTATTTTCTTATCCAATTACATTCCTTTGGGAGCAGTTTGGTCCATATATTCCCGCTTTTGGTCTAGTTCAGACGACAGATAATCGATTGTGATTAAACTGCTACTAATCCGTTTATATATCCGCTGAACTAAAATAAAAATATTTGACTAATGAGTTTACTCGAAAAAATAACCATAGTGCTAAGCATGCCCACTCTGCATTCTGGTAAGAAGAAAGAAAAACCAATAAATTTTATTGTGGGACGTAAAGTCCCCTTGAATAACAAAACTCTATATTAGAGTCGTATTTAGTCTCGTGTCCAAAACAATACAAAAGGGCCATTTTACAAAATACATACATTATAAACATAAACTAAAAAAGTACAGTAATAAAATTAAAAGAAACAATTAAGTTTAATAATAAAAATAACCACATCATACGCAGTTAATCATCGGGCTTTTAAGTTTTCACCTATGTAAATCTGGAAGGCATCGTTCTCCTCCCAGCCGATATATATGGTCGTAAGATTTCCTTTTACTTTACTCCAATATTTTTTAAATGACCTGATGGAGTTTCAACAGCTCATACGAATATACCTCGCATTTCTATGGATCTGCACCGAACGTCCTGCTGGGCATCGTTGAAACCGATTTCGAGTTCGGTCACTCGTGACTTTAGCGTCTTGTTCTCTATCATTGACTTCTCAAATATTTTCGACATCCTTCTGTGTTTAAAAAGAGATCGTTATTTCCAAAGTTGGCTTCACTTTGTTTGTCAAGGGCCTCTTTAAAATATCCCAAGTCTACCTTCACTGAGGATGTCATTTCTGTAAATTCCTTATTTATTCAATAACAGAACAGAGAGGGTTGCCCTCGCCAGTAGATGGTGCATGAAGGTTGGTCTCCAGACTGTCACCCTGCTTCCTGTACGGTTTCATGCACTTAGGACGGGACCAGGATTTTTGAACAGAATCTATGTCGGTGTCGTCAAATCTACAGCCCCTTCCATGGAATAGTACTTTAAAGCATATTACTCGCAGCCAATCTGCCCTACTTATCATCTCAGTCACCTCTGATTTGGATTTGGATTTATATAAGCTCAAATCTCCACATATATGTACTACATATCTATATAGGTACATATAAGTACAGGTACATTTGAAGGTACAGGTACATTTGAAGGAACAAAGTTGAGCATATCACTTCTCCCAGTCCATCGTCAATTCCAGCTTTTGTCATTTACAGTGAATTACCGACAGGTTTCGAGAATCACCCACCTCGGTGCTATGCGTCCAGCCACTGAAGTTGGGATCTAGGAGCAAATCAACAGCAAGGTCAATTCAGTATGCAGCTTGTAGATCCAAATCCATTCAAACAGTTAGTAATTCTTAAATACATTCTTTCCTATTTACGTATCATTCACTTAATAAGGATGGTAGAGTACTCGATATTCCTCTCCCACCGTTTACGCCTATTATATTACATAACTAACTAATTGATATTCGATGGGTACTCAATATTACGCCATCAGCCTTGTTACACTACACATTCCTGCTACCCTAAAATATCAGTACTATAGACAATAAAACAACCCTGTTTTCTCCAAAAATTCGGAACAGGGGACCCAAAGATTCATTGCCATGCTCGAGCGAAATTCTTATATTGACCGACATTCTTACATTCTCCCTATATGGAGCAAAGAAATGACCATCTCAATTATGGGGGACAAATTGAGCAACCGTTCTTTGCATATCGGACACACGCGGGCTTTGGCACAAAAGTAAGTCTCCGTGTCACAACCGACTATGGCCAATTCTAAGTCGGGTTAGGATGATCCTTCTTCAATGACAGTCACCTATTAAAATGTATTAGCAATAAATCTCAATACAATATGTTTTTATCATATTGTTTTTCTATTTCTCAAAGGTCAACATATATACATTCAGATACATATAAATTCATTCTGACAAATAATAAAGCTTATTAAAGCAAATAATTTTTCATCCTATTGTTTTTCTCTTCTCATTTTATGATACAAAATAAAGTTATCTAGATTTATTTATGTGAACTTATTTTTTTCCAGGGAAATGAGAATCACGACCAGAAAAATGTCCACTCCAATACAGGAGGAATTGGACAATAACATCAAGGTAAAGTAATTAAATTATATTTCAAAATTACTCATTTCTCACTAGAATTCATTTTACACAATCTTATATGTTCGAGACTTATTTTATTTATTAAAAATATTTCCTAATAATAATAATTCCTCGGTTGTGTGAAAATTGCTCTTTATGTTATTTTTACCATGCTTTATTCGTAAAGCGCACTTAAATATGAATTAGGCTGGTTGTTAAAATAACAATAATCCATTATGTTTATTCGGTTTCTCTGTATAAATTCCCAAATGAGTAGAAATGTCTAAAATTTGAATGTCCGAGTTGAGGCCCTTTGCCATTCTGATTTAGCCATTGTGCAACGCTCCGGGCAGTGGCATATTTTTACTTCTTGGACTTTGTTGCCTCTTGACAAAGGCTTGCTTAAAATCCTTTGCTTTCACTAACAAAGGGCTTAACCCTTGCAAATAAAGATAAAGAAAGTTGCATTTCTCAAAGGCTATTTGGGAGCACTTATCTCGTAGACTCGAAAGATAAGGGAATCGAACAATCCACACAATGGGATTGATAGTTATGTTTTATAGTAAAAAATCAGAATAGCATAGTTTTTAATGATTTTCTAAAATAATTTCTTGTATTTATATTTGTATGTAATAAGATTAAATTTATATAATTTTTATAACCACTTTTTCCGAGGCTGGAAAAATCTTTTAATATCGAATAATTCTGTTGAAAATTATATCCTACTAATCAAACTTTTGTTAGTTTATTGATAAGATTAATATTTCAGAATAGTCAGGTAAAATTTAAATTTTTTTTAAAATTTTCATTACTATACAAGAACAAACAAATTAAACTTTTGATTATGAATCAAAAAACTTATATTATTTTTTTTTTGAAGTTTAATTTTGAAGTTTACTCACATTAGGCAGTATTTCAATTTCATTCATTTTCACTATGAACAAATGTTGGAAGAATATTGTTCAATAATCAATCCATATTTTTTTAAACATAGCAAAAATGCATGCGAATTTATAAGGTAGCAGGTTTGAGAGAAAAACTCGATAATGTTGGGGTTATTCAGATTTTATTCAGAATCAATATTAATACGTTAATAAATATTTTAAAACTTTTTATAAATTATAAAAACTACATGCCAAAAATGTTTTAGTTATTATTAATAAATATAATATTAATAATAATTACTAAATTAGCTTTTCCTTGGCTCTATTACCCCAATGCTGTGGAAGTTTCTCATTGTACGCCAAGTACAACTTGTTAAACAAATAGTCTAAAATCACAATTAGCTAGATAGTAGTTTATTTGTGTCTTTGAAAAAATATTTTATAAAGGTTTACATTTCGAAATTTATTTAGAATATAGGAAACGTACAATATTATACAACATTAGGTAATCATAAACGAGTCCAACGTAAATCCACTTTTTCTTACGAATTGAAATAACTCTATTTCAAATCCTCCTCAACCTTCATTATTTTAAGATTATAATTTGGGTTTTGTTTTGATAATTAGTCAAATATCAAGCCAATTTAGGTTTAATAATCTTAGTCGAGTAATTGACAAAACAGGGTTTATGCTAAACCGGCACGGGGTCACTTATTGGATCCGTTTTCTCTCGCGGATTGATGAACTGCTGAAACGCGCTCTCGCCAGGGAGGAATTCACCCTCATTTCAGTGACCCAGTGCCAGTTAAGCACGAATTCACTCAGCATCACATCTAAAACAGGGTATTCCGTGTTTCCGATCGTTCAGTTTTTTCCCATGATTTGTCTAATCGTTCTTTAAAAGCAAAAGGTTTAGGAATCAATTGAATTTATTCAAATTATCCACTATCCTACTAATCTGACCGTAATTGACATATAACATTAAAAGAGTCCTGCTAATGTATAATTGGTGTATTTGTTGAAACAGGGCCTTCGATTGTATTTTTGTTATTAATTTGAAAATGACCTACATTTTAAAGTTTCTGAATGTTTTTAAAATTAATCATTTATAATTAGTAATGTGTAAGAATCAAATATAATTTTAGGTGTATATCTACATTTTAAAATGAGATATCACTTTTTAAATATTAAAATAACAGAGTTTAAAAACACTTGATGAATTTCGGCTTTTCAAAACTTCATTTTGATTTCATAATTAACCATACTCCTTATCCACTTTGACACAAGGCGCTGAGATAATACATTTTTCATCAACAATTTCTACCATGTGTGAACGAAAATTACTCAAAATTAAATTAACTATAACCAAACTAGATACACAAAACTAAGGTTATGTATGGTGTGCAATAAGAATTTCTGGAAATAAGGAACAAGAAACTATTGAAGTTTGGATTACAGATATTTTTTTGAAGACAACCTACCGAAAATGTTGCACAAGTTTTAGTTCATAAATTTTGAGATTATCAATGTGGAAGGATAGACGAAGGCTTATTATCTAACGTTCACTTTTAATATAACGGGCACATTGCTGAAACTACATTTCCTAGATCTCTGTTTCCCCTAGTACTTATAAACGCAGAAAAATTCACGATGATTCAGTATATTTTGAACCATACTATTGAAAAATCGGCCAATAACATTATAAAAGCCTATTCGTTAACTTAATAATACGTTTGTTCTTCTGAAAACGGTAACCCTAACCATCCTATTATACTAATTGTTACGATAATCTTATTGTGACTGAAGTTGCCAATTATTTTTAAGAACTCTTAATTGAACTAAGAATCAATGCTGAATGAACGCGTGGGCAAATCGATCAGCTCTTTTTATAATTAACTGACATCCAAGAATTACACCTAAATTAGCTTATTTCATTAAACGAAATCGCAAATTTGTTGGCAAAACAAAAGTACGTATAAAGTATATAAGTTTCATATTATTGGCCAAAGGTACCTTGAGATGTAAAGATGTTAAAAGAAAGTTACAATCAATATTTCTTACGTATTAGCAGTATGTCAAAAAAATGTAGTAATAGTAATTATCGCCTAATTAAACTTTCATATGCTTGTAAGAAACTGACAGGTAACGGTTTTGTTCGTCTTCATGGGGTTTTTTGTACTGCTGTTCCCACGATTGTAACGATTGTAATTTCTTCGTTTTTTATATGGTTGAAACAATTTAGTCCTTCTAAACAGTCTTGCGCTTACAGGATTGTTTCTTAGAAGGGGGGAAATGAGCGTTGAGGATGGCTCCGAGCCGTATTAGGTTCTGTGAGAGGAAACAGGGCTTTTCCTTTAAAAAAACCTTTACCTGTGATTTTCCCAGGTCAAACGTTAGGTAATGGACTACAGAAAAACAATACGAAACAACGGACACCTATTTTTTGCCAGACCTTCCAAGCGTTCTACCATTCTTTCAAAATCCGTTAGGCAAACTTTGAAAGAAAAATTCAACCTCATTAAAGTTCTGGGTAAAGTTCCCGAACAAAGGGCCCGCCTAAACATGGTAATTTGGTAATTTTCGCCTTATGGAAACTCTCGGCTGGACGTAGTATTCACTACTAGCTCTTGTTTGTCTATGCAAACTGTCGGGGGATGAAATTTTGCTCGTCTCAAATTCTGGCCTTCACATGAAAACAATTCAGACAATTAAAGTTCAACTTTCCTTTAGAGGCATCATGTTAAACACCGCGTTCTGCAAATTGTGTCGATACTTACAAATAGAGCAGATGTTTAATTAAACAGTTAATTCTTGTTAATGTACTTACCTTTGCCGTTTGTCTGGTTTCACTACTAATGTATGCTAAATAGAAGGCTAAATAGAATAGGCAAATAGAAACAAATCAAAATGTGTACGGCCACTTCAAAAACTACAGCAAATTAGAACCAAATGTTCCTAACAACATTTATACAATGAACATAGTGATAAAAAACGTGAAAAACCGAAGTGTGCAAACTGTGGAAAAGAACACGGATGTAAATATTATAAATCATATCTGGAGAAGATGAGGAGAGGAACAGAAAATTTACTAAAACAAGTTGGAAAAGAACATGCTATTAATAGTAACAGAATGAACTGACATAAATACATCAAGTTACAGTTCAATAAAAACAGGAAAATATATTTATTTTATAACCTTTCTAACGAAACAACAAGCAGTGACGCTAACAATACAAACATTGGAAAAATCAACAACAACGGGCTATTACCACTTCGTTCAGTAATGAAATATCAAATATTATATACAGCCAATAATACAGCCAGTTACAAACTTAATTAAGAAAATAATTCCTGTTACAATCTGAAATTTTAATAATGAATTAAAACAAAGGTTAATATTATTAAAAATGATTATAATAACTATAATATTCATGGGTGATCATTTGTTAAAAACGGCCAACTGCGAAATATTAAACTGGAACGCAAACGGGATTAAATCAAAGAAATAAACCATTCGACAAATCAGATTAATCATATTCGTGAACAGGAAAGGTTCTTCTTAAATTGTAAGTTGTGTTTAACTAATAAATTTTTTTTAAAACACTCTCGATTAGTCAAGACACGTAACTTATATAAACGCGATAGAAAATCAGTGAAATCGTCTGAAGGAGTGGTAATTCTTATTAAAAGAGGACTAACTCACCACAGTTCGCCGGCGTATTGTTTAACAAACATAGGACATCGCAAAGGTTTTCAAGGGAATATAAGAAACCAGTCGTGTCAACGGTGAATTTGCTGCATCGGACCTGATGAGCATGATAAAATTTAGTTTGTGAGTAGGAAATTATTGTATTTTATGACAAATTTGATTGTTTTTAATTTTAAGCGTTTTGGGTATTGGTATAACTTCATTAACTTATAATTATAATTTTAATATAATTATATAAAACTTGTTGAAATGGTCAATTTTGCCGAATTAAAATTCATCTTGGATGCCATCCCTAACTTCGATGGCAATCCGAAAACACTGACACAATTTATATTAAAAGTAGAAGAAGCACAAAACATTGTATCTTCTCTAACACCTCTTATCACAAACATACAAAAATCTATGTCCTTCCTACACAC